AACCATTATTTCTTTTCTTTTTTTTTTTTTGGCGGTACGCGGGCCTCTCACTGTTGTGGCCTCTCCTGTTGCAGAGCACAGGCTTCGGACACGCAGGCTCAGCGGCCATGGCTTATGGGCCCAGCCGCTCCGCGGCATGTGGGATCTTCCCGGACTGGGTCACGAACCCGTGTCCCCTGCATCGGCAGGCGGACTCTCAACCACTGCGCCACCAGGGAAGCCCAACAACCATTATTTCTTAAAAATGTTTTCTGCCCTACACTCTTCCCCCGTCCTTCTGGGACTCAGGCAACATGAATGTTAGACCATGTATGTATGTTTTCCCACAGGTCTTTGAGGCTCTCTTCTTCCTTTCTTTTTTCTCTGTTTTTCAGATATGATAATTCCTATTGATTGATCTTACAGTTTAATGCTATAGAGTCCATCCAGTGAATTTTTTCAGTTCTTAAATTTCCATTTGTTTCTTTTTTACATGTCCTATTTTTTTTTTACTGAGACTTATTCTTTACATTTATTTCAAGAGTATTCACTTTTACTTCTTAGAACATGGTTATAATAGATACTTTTAACTGCCTTTCTGATAATTCCATTATCTTTGCCATCTTGGAGTTGACATCTGTTGGCTTGTTTTTTACCTTGCAGATTAGTTAGATTTTACAGGTTCTTTTTTGAGTGATTTTGGATTGTCTGGATCCAGTATTGAATGTTATGAGACTCTAGATCTTGTTTAAATCCTAAGGAGAATGTGAATTAAAAAAATTTTTTTTAATTAAAAAAATTGTTTTTTGTAGCAAATAGTTTTATGTTCAAATTGCAAATTCTGACTTACCGTTTGTAGGCTGCTGTTTCTGTGTCAGTTCAGTCCTTAAAGAGTTTGCCCATGTTATTTGGATCTGTCTGTGTGTGCACCATCTAGTGGCTGTTCTGTGACCTGGGTGGTGGTTTACTCCATAGTTCAGTTCTCAGAGCCTTTGGTATGGTGACTATGGTCAGATCTTGCATGTCCAGCTTAGAATAGAACCCAGTAGTTCATATACAGCTTTTATAGGATCTCTTTCTTGAGTTCCTTTGTCTCTTTGATTTCTCCCCAGATTTCAGAATCCCCTGAGTCCTTCTTCCTGAAAACTGGCTAGAAATCATGGACCTAAATTCCCTTGGTCTAAGACACAGTTCCTGCAATTGTGTCTGTGTCTGGTGCCAAACATTGGGAGGACAGAGAGAGAAAAAGTATAATGAGAATTTGTATCATGCTTGCGAGACCACAGCACTTCTGGTCAGAGGGTGTGATTCCCCTCTTTCAGAGTTTTAGGTGCCTGCTTGGCCACTGCTGTTATCATCATTACTACCCCTGTAGCTTCTGTTTCCACTGAATTGCCTGAGGGTTGGGGCAGAAGACAACTGTGAAAGAAGGGGGGTTTTCCTCACTCTTTGACCCTTAGGAATTTGTTTTTTTTTTCATTTCTCAGAACAGAAAGAAGACTGTACCTTGATATTAATATTGTACTCTGGCTTTCTTAGTGTTTACATGATGTATCACTTTCTTTCCTTTTACTTTTACCAATCTGTGTCTTTATATTTAAACTGGATTTCTTTTAGATATTCTATACCTGCCTCTTATATTTTCATCCATTCTGACCTTGTCTTTAACAATTTAAAATTTAATGTATATATTCATATGTTTTATCATCTTGCTGTTTGTACTCTATATATCCCATCTGTTCTTTGTCCCTCTTTTCTACTTTAATCCTGACTTTTCAATTAATTGCTGATTTTATTTTGCATTCTATTTTGTCTCTACGTATTGGCTTTATTTTTTGTTTGCTCTAGAGTTTACAGTATACATCTTCACCTTATCATAATCTATTTTCAGAATTTTATACTGCTTTCCATATAATGTAAGAACCCTACAGTAATTCCATTTCCTCATTCCTGTCCTGCTAACTACTGTCAAAATTTTACTTCTGCATTTGTTATAAATCCCACTTTTTTTTTAAACAATCAGATATCTTTTCAATAAATTACAGAGAGGAAAAAGTCCTTTTACTCATATACTTAACTATTTACACAACTCTATTCCTTTATGTAGATCTACATTTTCATCTGGTATCATTTTCCTTTCTCCTGTAATGAAGATTTCTTACAGTGCAGCTCTTTAAGACTTCTTATAGTGCATGTCTGTGGGAAATTCATAAAAATCTCATAACATTTTTATTTTGAATTTATCTTCTCTACATTTAGAATTCTGGGTTGACAAGTTTCTTTTTTCCTTTCAGCATTTTGAAGCCATCATTCCATAGTTACCTGGATTGAACAGTTTTGGCCTGGCCATTATTTCTTCACTTTTTTATTTTTTAAAACATTTATTTATTTACTTGCTTACTTACTTATTTATTTATTTATTGCTGTGTTGGGTCTTCGTTGCTGCGCATGGGCTTTCTCTAGTTGTGGTGAGCAGGGGCTACTCTTCGTTGCGGTGTGCGGGCTTCTCATTGCAGTGGCTTCTCTTGTGGAGCACGGGCTCTAGGCGCACGGGCTTCAGTAGTTGCGGCACGCGGGCTCAGTAGTTGTGGCTCACAGGCTCTAGAGAGCAGGCTCAGTAATTGTGGCTCATGGGCTCTAGAGCACAGGCTCAGTAGTTGTGGCGCACGGGCTTTGTTGCTCCGCAGCATGTGGGATCTTCCTGGACCAGGGCTTGAACCCATGTCCCCTGCATTGGCAGGTGGATTCTTAACCACTGCGCCACCAGGGAAGTCCCTCTTCACTTTTTTTATTATCTCCTTTTAGTATTACAGTTACTCATGGTTGATCACATGATATAATCCCATTGAGTCTGTTCATTTATTTGCTTCATTGTATATATATTAGATTCTAATGCTTTCTTAAAGTTCACTAATCTTTTCTTCTGCATTGTTTAATTTGCTGTTAATTATGTCCAGTGAGAACTTTTCATTTTAGATATTTATCATCTCTAGAAGTTCCATTTCATTCTTTTTTCATATCTTCCATTTTTCTCATACTTTTAATTTCCATTACATCCTTGTTCATAGTTATAATTGTTTTAACATGTGCATCCTTATTCTATCATTTGTATCATCTCTGGATCTGTTTCTGTTGAGTGATTTTTCTTGGTATGACTCATGTTTTCCTACTTGTCATTTTTAATAATTTTTTAAAATATTTATTTATTTATTTTTGGCTGCTTCGGGTCTTAGTTGTGGCACACGGGATCTTTGTTGCGGTGCATGGGCTCCACAGAGTGAGGGCTCTTCGTTGCGGTGCACGGGCTCTCTAATTGAGGTGCGTGGGTTCAGTAGTTGTGGCACATGGGCTTGGTTGCCCCATGGCATGAGATCTTAGTTCCCCGACCAGGGATCAAACCCGCATCCCCTGCATTGGAAGGCAGATTATTGACCACTGGACCACCAGGGAAGTCCTCTAATAATTTCTGATAGGATGTGGAACATTGTTAATGTTACATTGTTGATTATCTGGATTTTGTTATCTTCCTTTAAAGGGTGGCAGTTATTTAAGTTACTTGTGGATCCCTTGGTCCTTTTTGAGTTTTTTTGTTTTTCTCTTTTTTCCTTTAGCTTTACTAGGATGCATTTAAAGTAGCTTTTACTCAAGGATAGTTCAGCCCTGTTACGAAGCTCCCCACAGAATTCCCTAAATGATTACCAAGGACTGTCCACTTTGTCTCCATGATTATGAACCTTGGAAATTGTTCAGCTTGAAACTCCCATTTTTATTTGCCCAGCATTGTGGAGTTTTACCCTATGCATGTTCCTAGTACTCAGCAAAAACTCAAGGGGATTCATGTGTAGATTTCTGGGGCTTGTTCTCTTTATAGCTCCCTTTTCTTCAGAATTCTGCCTTGCAGCCTCCAGGCACCTCATCCTCCCTGAACTGATTTTAATCTCCTCCATTTAGCAATTATGTTCTTTCTCTGTACCTATAGTCAGGAAGTGCCTCTAATTAAAAAGCTGGGTCAGTTGTAGGGATCACATTTTTCTTAGAGATCACAGTTCTGCCCTACCAGTTGTTCAGTTTTTGGGACCATTCTTTTTGTTTATTTTGTCTGGTTTTCTAATTATTGGTGGCTGGAAACTATATTATGTATTAATATACTCTTTAAATTTTCTTCACTCTTGCATGTTTATTTTTCTATAAGGAATATGAAAATCAGCTTATCTCACTTTTTAAAAATCCTCTTTGTATTTAATGTGATCTGATATCTTTAGAATATTGAACCCTGATAGCCAAGGACAGCAGCATATACCTTTCTCATTTATAATTTTATCCTATTAAGCTAGTATCTCTCCCTATTTTATTATGATTTTTTTTTACCAAAAATAGATATTTCTTATCTTCTCATGCCTTTTTCCTTTTTTCTTTCTTTCTTTTTTTTTCTTTATGCGAGTCATCATACCTTTTTTCTTTATTAGTATGGTGACTTACATTTATACACTTCCTAACATAGAACCCATTCCTAGTATGAAACCCCCTCAGTCATAGTCATTATTACTTTAAATAAACTACTACATACTATATGCTTGATATTTTAGTTTGGACTTTTGTATAGATTCTTGGATTACTTTTGACTATTTCAGTATTCAAATTCCTAGCACTCATTTAGAATCCTTAAATATGACAGGCTTAAAGTTCGTGAAAAGGGAAGAATTTTCAGAATGCATGAGGTAAATGCATCATCGTGGTATTTGGTTACTTTTAGCATCAGTAACATTTAAATGTATTAGTGTTCATGTTTTTGTTTCAAAATAATTAACATAATTTGTGCTCTTCATCTTGCTGATATGACAGGAACTTTTTTGTCAAGGAGAAATAGGATTTTTAAATTAAATCTTCTCAATAAAATGTGCTTGTTATATAGGTTGAACTTCTGTGGTCTATATTCATCAGAGAAAAAATTTAACCACCTATCTCCATATAGAACTGTCTCAGTTCTCACTAATTCAGTTACATGTTTTTCCTCTTTACAGGTGCAGTTTAACTTGCAGTTTACAAAACCAAGTACATCACTAGGAGATGTTCAATCAGGAACAACTGTTAGTATGCCTTGCTCAACTGATAAGGAAAAGTAAGCTCTTGACATAAAATTTAATGTTTGTAATTTTTTTTAATGTTTGTAATTTTGAAAGGGAGTTTTTATCAGTGTTTGAAAGCTATTATGACCACTTATTTATGTAACGTTTTAAGTTGCTGATCAGTGGGATTTGACTTAGTCCCTTTTAGCTATAAGAAAGAGGTTTCTCACATTTTTTAAAACTGTAGAATAGACATATAGTAAAATTTAATTTTTTAAAAGGGATTTTCCTACATAACTGAAGAACACCCTTTCATATATTCTTGGGCAAATAGATAGAAATGTTTTAAATTCCTCAGAGTTGGCTGTTTTGCTTTTGTTTTCCTGTATGGCTGTGTCTGTCTCTAGAAGCTTTTTGTTTTTCTGAGTAATTGCTTCCAGTGTAAAGTAAACTGAGAAATCAGCTGGTTAAACTGTTAGAATTCTGGGGTAGCTAAGAGTAAAAGGGTTTGTGAGGTTGCCCCCTAGCCCAGCTAACATAAATAAGCTTTAGTGCCAATTTGTGACTTCTGTTTTGCCTACTCAGAGATTCTTTGCCTGTTTTTTTAGATCTTAAGCAGGTTTTATGTACTGAAGTTTGCTGAATCAGTGAGTTGTAGCTAGAGTCAACAACTTATAGATGCAGACTTGTCTCTCTGGGTAGTCTTTGTTTGTAATACTGTTTTCTTATTGTGCCTTTATTTACTTAAAATGTAATCGCTTTAAGGCCTGTCTGCTGGCACTCATTATCATGAGCTATCACCATCCCCAGTATATTGCAAACTAAAAAATTACTGTCATGGCTCAAAGAGGCTTCTTATTCCAGCTCTCTTCACTCATTGGCTCCTCTAAAATTAGTACCACGATGAGTATTAAAATAGTTAATGTTTATGAGCCTCTGTTTTTTAAAAGTGAGAATTCTTTGAAGTCCAGGAATGTATGTGCTTGTTATATTTAAGCTCATATTTGTTAGTGGCAGAGCACCTAGAATTCATATTAATGGTAGAACACCATGATGTTTATATGTTTACCTCCATCATACACACTAAGAACAATTTTACTTACAGATCATATTTGTGGTACAAAATCAAACATAATCATGTGTCCATAAAATTGGGACTGTTCAGCTATTTTGAGATTTTTGTTTAGAATTGGTTTGTTTTGTTGTCAGCTAGTAACAAGTGGCAAAGGTTAAAGAAAAAATTTTAAATTGGAAAAGACACCTATTCAGCCACTTAATTCTTTTCTGAAAATTGGGAAAAGACCATCATTTAATTTTAAAGATAAAATGTCATTGTTTTGCAAGAGCCCTGAACTTCTTCTTGCAGGTGTACTAATATAGAAACTGTTAATACTAGACAGATTTAGAAAGAAGGAATATCGTGGTTGAAAGAGGAAAAATACAACTACAGAAATATCCCCTCCTTTGTTTTTTCAAAATTTCATATTTGTATTCATCCGACCAGAATTCATTATTGTACAATGTGTATTAATGTTTAATAATGACAACTTTGAAGCATAACAAAATTTTGAGGAGCTTTTGGTCAAAGGAAAAAGATAACTTACTCTTTACTGGGAAGAAGTATACTTTGGCTTATGAATAGATAAATTATTTGCTTAAGAACCCAGTGAAAAATGGGATTTGTTTTGAACAAATGTGTATGTATGTATATGTATATAGATTAAACATTCAAACTTTACTGAAGAGAAAGTAAGAGTTTGTTAAAATAAGTAAATAATTACTATTTTCCTTTCAAGTGGTGAAAATTTAGGGCTGGAATCCAAATATCTGAAGAAAAGGGAAGACAGCATTCCTTTACGTGGGCTCAACCAAAATCTATTTAATAATCCAGGTGAGAAGACATTTCTGAAATGGATTGTACACTGTGGTTTAATTAAATGTATTATATAAAGACTTAAGTGAATGCAGATAATCTTTTTTTGTCCTCATTTGCAGACCATCAAAAAGACGGCACTTTAGGAGCATTACAGACATCTTCCAAACCCGTAGTACTCCCTTCTACATCTTCAGCGTATTTCCCTGGGCAGCTACCAAACAGTTAATCCTAGTGTCATCTTTTACTTTTATTGAAATTTTAGAAATTCAGCATGTTTTTAATATAGAAACAACACAGATGAAATTCCGAATAAGCAAGTTTCAAAGTTTACTTGAGCTACTGTATTAGATTGTTTGGATCCTTTAAGTACTGCTGTCGTTTATGCAGTTTAGAGGGGCATATTTGTACTAGGGAATGGGTGAAGATTCTTTTTAGTTTGGAACATGGTGTTTTGTAGAATAATAGTATGAATTTTATTAAACTAATCCTTAGAAATTCTCAGAAGTTCTAAGGAAAGAGTTGATCCTTGTGAGGGACATTCTAATCATATTCAATAACTCAGTTAATTAAAACCTGCTCAGATATATATACTAGTATGAAACCAAAGAATGCTATCAATTCATTTTATCATTTTCATTAGTACAATAAAAGTTTTAAATTTGCCACCTGAGAATTTTAAGGGAAAATAATTATCTCTTGAGATATATTATTGATATTTACAGTAAAGGGAAAAGTCCTGAAATTACCTTAAATGAATAAATTCTTCATAGCAAGTAAATATTTTCCTTGATACCTTTAAATTATCTTTTGAATAAGTCCGTTAAGTAATTTTGATAAATTTATTGTACAGAAAATCTTGGACAGTCTAATTACATGACCAGATTAGGTACAAAGTGCTTTTAGTCATTTGAGGTGCAGTTTATGGATTTTAATGCTTCCTGGAAGTCTACAGTCATCCAGTTTTTCTCCTTCATTTGGAGTTTTGTTTGTTATGCAGTTAAATCTGTATTAGTGGAATATTTGTTTTAAAAATTAGTACTTACACAAAATATTTACTGAGAGCATCATGAATATTCATTTTGCTTATATCAAAATAGGTTCATTTTCATGTTTGCTTATTAGTAAAGTAGGCAAAATGAATAATGTTAGAAGTTATAACTTTCTTCTCTTCCCTATAATGAAAAGTTTCAAATAAGAATTGTTCCTTGGGAAAAATGAGGTAATTTAAAAAAATTCACCCAGGATCACAGGGTTGCATTTTGTTTTCTTACAGACAACCATCCAGTAGAGTAGCATTCTCTTAAGAAAACTCTAAATCATTTTGTTTGCAGAGATTGCTCATGCTCATGTGATACTTAAAAAAAATATTTTCAAGGACCTTATTACACACATGAGGAAGAGAGACATTTCAGGATATTGATGACCTACTAATGTTATTGGCTTCCATGGTAAGACAAAAAATATTTGCTAATTTTTTTACGAAGCCACAGTATTGAGTCTTTCCTTATGATACTTTTGAAACTGTTGGTAACCACAAGCTGTCTTAAACTAAAAAATTTAATAACCGTTATTAGGTAGTCACTTTTTATATATATTTTTTTGTCATTTAGATATACTATATTAGTAAGAATACTCAGTTATAATAACTTGAAAGCACTAATAATCTGGAAAGAAACTTTCTGGCAATATTGGAATCTTTCCTGTAAATAGTATGTAATATAAAACTTTGTGACAAGGGTTTGGATAGGATACATGACATACAGGTAGCTCTTTTTTTTAAATATAGATATCCTTTTCCATATCCACACATGGAAAACTGGGAGAATTCCCAAAAGATATAGAGATCATTTTGATATCAAACTTGCTAAAGACTTTTTGGTATTAAATATATATACACAGACTTTCGAGTGTGCTAATTATTTGCTCTACCTCTTAAACTTTTATTTGAAATTGTTTTGCTGTGTGCAGTTGTACATGTGTTAATAATCAAAATATTGCATTTAATGTATTTCTGTAAACTGTGAGCTTTGTTAATAAAGTATTAATATTTTGGGAATCTGACATGTAAACAGTATGTAAAAACAAACATAGGACTGACCTACAACACCTGTGCTTAGAAAATTAAGTACTTACAGTTAATTTATGAACTAAGTTTTCATTTCTTTGCTTTTGTCTTCTTACAACAGTATTTTATTGAGGGAAATGAAATGGATTCGAAGGGAGAAGGTATAATGCTTTGATTTGTTACTGTAAAAATATAGTAACAAAGCCAAAACAGGCCTCATAAGGGAATCACAGATCAAGACTTTCTTTAAAAAAAAATCATTAAAATATTTAATTTTATTAACAGAATATTTACATTTCTTTTAAGACCTTATTTAACCATAGTGAATGTTCCAAGTTTAAAAAGCATTAAGCAGTAACCACACATAAGATGAAAACAGTGTAAACTATACAATACTTTATGTACAATTTTTTTACAAAGTAACACTTTTTTAAATAATATAACTGGACACAAAAATATACACTTTAGAGAAATTCACATCAGTAATTGTATAAAGCTCTCTTCTAGGGTCCTGAAAATTTAGGACAAACATTAGCTCTGTAAATAAAGTGTTACTGTGACAGTCCTGAAAGGCCACTATATATATTTATCTACATATAGATATCACATTGACATTTTCAAGGCTACCAGCTTTACTATATAATTTTTAGATTATGTATTCAAGTGTTGAGGTTCTTATGATTATGCAAACATTAAAAGAATAGTGGTATAGTATAAGTAGCTGGGGAACAAATGCGAGCCAGCATTTAGATTTACAGGCTCCAAACACCCCAATTTAAATTCTAAATGGCTGATATTTTCTTATTTCAAAAACAGTAGTGAATAATGTTTAAAATAAAATTACTACAAACAAGCTTGAAACATGATTCAGATTTAATATAGTTTTCTTAAGAGTTTTGTTTTTTAAATGCAAACAGTTCATTTACCATTTCTTTACTTTAGTGCATCTGCATTAAGGCTTTGAATTATTTGACCCAAGATTTTACAATATTAAAATCTGACTCACGACTTTACAATGTTAAAATGAACAGTTCCACACTATACTACCTACTCTGTCTCACTGCGAGTCAGCATAAATAGTTAAAGCTCAACACCTGAAGGAAATGGTAGCAGAGACATTGCTAGTATCTAAGAAGTTACATATATAGTTTTAAGTTTTAATTAAAGGATGTATAATAAAACAAAAAGCTTAATGGCAAGAAACTGGTGCTAATAAACAAAAGGTTTCTTTTCAAAAGAAATTGTAACATCTTTGGAAAACTGTCCAGTTCTTTTCTTTAGTTCCCACGGAGTTCATGCAGATACATTTCTTAAGACAATCTTAAAGTACATTGTAGATGGAAATGGAATGTACGTCCAGAACTATAGGTGAAAACTAAGACCTGGGTGCTGATAGAAAAGTCTTCCTGATTTCGGTTGTCACACATTTGTGTCCTGGAGTAAAGGTTCTTTGGCCTCTCCTGGCGCTTGTGCACTATGAGGATGGCTGTGACTGCCACAGTGCTTTCTCCAACTGCTGGACCTTAAGCTTAAATTGGTATGTTCCGGAATAAACAAGGCAACAAGCAGAGCCAGCAGTACTGAACAGGCTCCAAAGAGGAAGGGGGGGCCAGGGATGATGGAATTCTGAGGAAGGAAAAGAGAATTAGGATTTTTGCAAAGACTTCTTTGTTCATAACAAGAAATTGCTTATCTTTTAGTAGTAACTGATTGCTGTGACTGATTGCTGTGAATTATAAGCCGACTCCTCTCTTTCTTCATTAAAGCCACAGTTAGAAAAAACATTCCCTTTTCAAGGGGAAAAGAAACACTGTCACACTCTCAACGTAAAATTCTGGGGGATAACAGCTGACCCAAAAAACAGCCAAAAGATTTTTTAAAAACAAATACATGCAAAAATATATTGTCATTTATAGCATAAAATCTGAACACATTCTATGAACCTTCACTTAATTTGTTAGTTCAAGAGGAAAACAGGGAGATCTCACAAGTAAAATCAAGTAGCATATGATATTAACTACAGTAGCAGAATCAATTACCATTTTCTTTGTTAAAAAGGTAACTACATTCTCTAGTGACTGAAAGTAAGGAAAACACAGATAATGTCGTTACCATGAGAAGAATCAAACAGACCTGTGTTTTAGCCCCAAGTCACATTCATTCTTAGCAAAAACTTGCACTGCCAGTTTTACCTGTGTAGAGCCCACAGACAAACATTCTTTTTTATTTAAAAGTAGTCTTAATTGGTTAGAAGATTAGTGTAGAACTCTGCTAAATACAAGGGAACTAATGAATTGTTTGTACTGGCTAAAGTAATGTGTTTCGCTGTTAATGTTTTCAGTTGTATGGAGGGGAGTATAGCGAGCAAGTGAACAAAGATGTTTACCAGCACCGAACTGACTCTTCTACAGAAGGCAGACCTGATACAGGGAACCTCTAACATTCCAGAAGCCTCAGATGAAAGACAAACAGTAGTATAGACAAATGGCTGTTACCTATGCCACTAGGTATACTAAGACAAACTAGAATACATAAATAATTTTTTAATTATCCAGGGAAGAAAAGAACACACAGCCAATTTTATAAAGAATTACGTATATAGGAGGACATAGTCCCTTAGGCTTTGGTTTTAAGTGTTTTTATTCAATCTAAGAATCTCAAATAAAAGCTTTAGTGACCAAAAAACATCACCTTTCAATCCAGCCAAATGAACTATATTTTTATAATTACCTGTTCAAAGTGGTGCTGTGGGCTTGTGTTTGTTCCCAAGTCTGTTCCTGTCATTGGCAGTTCTTTAAGTTCCACATGGAATATGTAGAAAATGAATCCATAAAGGGCTGGTCCCAGACCATTGCATAATCCTCTAATTCCTGTTATCATCCCTTGAACGACACCTGAATTGTTTAAACAAGTTATTTAGTGTACCACTTATTTTTTCCTACCCTAGAACCGATACAAACATGAAATCACTTATTCTAAAGGCAAAACTTACCAGACACTAGCAACTTACTGCAGTGGCATCAAAATTACTTAGAAGCTCTACAAAGTATAGTGAGCTATCTGATGCAAATGTAAGCTCAGGTCTAATGTAGAAACAAGGGGGCAAAAGCACTGTATTTCCTTTAAAAAAAAAATATGTTGGCTCAAAATCAGCATGAGTTCATAAGCACAGCTGTTAAAAATTCTGTCCCCAAGCAGCTACTTAAGACCCCAAATATAGCCCCTTTTTATAGAGTTTGATTTTTGTTTACCTCTGGGATCTTATCCCAAATTTAAAATGCAGCTTGATTTGGCCACAGGCCTTTCCTTATTTATAACTAAGTGACCTCTGCCACTCTTTTGTAATGCCCCTGTTTTTCCTTTTGACATAAACAGGCTTTTCAAAGAATTATTCCTCACCTATTAGTATTTTAAGAATTAAGTGTTCCTGCCACAAAAGTGTAAGACAATAAAAATACATTTTCTATGTGTCTTAGGTGACAAACATACAGTGTTAATGAAAGGGTTATCTGCATATCCCTGAGATGTCTAGAACATCATAGCATATTGTTTATGTAATAAATAAATGGTTAGTGAATATAAGGTGACTAATTTACAGTGAGAGACAAGGTTATCTACCTAAGGATAATACCCTAGAATCTGCTTTTCCTCTTTACAATGAAAGCAATTTATTTATTTTTTAAAAATTTTATTGCAGTATAATTGATTTACAATGTTGTGTTAGTTTCAGGTGTACAGCAAAGTGAATCGGTTATACATATATCCACTCTTTTTTAGAGTCTTTTCCCATTTGGGCCATTACAGAGTATTGAGTACAATGAAAGCAATTTAAAATTCTCTACCCTGAAGATACACTTATGTTTCAGAACTTAGGAAAGAGACAGAACAGAGGATTAGAATATTCTGTATTTTTAAATAATTATCATTGGGTCTTATCAACTCACCTTGTTGATCAGCATCAGCAGTTCGTGAGACAAGTGCACTGACAGCTGGAAAGGTAATGCTAGACATGGCTGCCACTGCCCCAGCAGCCCACATCATCCTGCAATCAAAAGCAGCAAAACAAAAATAGTATGTTATTATTATTCTCCATTGTACCTGTCAAAGTCAAAATACATACTTAAGTAAGAGAAATGGCTGTGGTACAGGAAAAAGAACTATACTTGCTCTTCCTTCTTTCCTATGTGACTGGACAAGTCACTTAAAAGTCTAACCCTGTTTACTCTTCTAGAAAGCAGAAAAACAACGACTTATTCACAAGAATGCTGTGGGTTTCAATGTAGAATTGGGATATCACACATCACATCTAAACTGTAAAGTGTGTTGGGTATTATTTCTGCAGGACTTGGGCGGGTGGGGAGAGAATGTTGAGAAACATCATTAAATGTTTCCAAACGTTCACTAGTAGAACGGCAGGGTTCCCAGAGACCTGTGATTCAGTGCGAAGAAATCACTAATTTGATCTAAATGTGCTACTGGCTTGATGTTTAAAAGAAATGTTTTCGATAAATTGTGAGCACCTCTCTTGCAAGGCTAGACAGAAAAATAAAACATCCATCAAAACACACTCTTGGTGCTTACTCATATCCAAGTCCAAACAGAGATGATGGGTTCAGTTGAATGAAACACTACTGCACATTGTGGAGTTCAGTCCTGTAATACCTGAGCACAAAGGTGTGCATGCGCAACCTGACAGAAGCACTATTACCATCACCTCCCTGCAGGAAACCAGACTGGCAAGAAAAGCAGAGAGCTTTCCCAGCATAAAGCCGGGACCAAAACAACTGGACTTCTGGTTTGCCATCAGTAATGATCACTGGTGTTACTCAACTTTTTTTTCCTAACCTTGCTGCTTTGGGATTACATGTGTTTTTCTGACAAACTAAACTGGATTAAATGCTCATTAGAAATTGAAAAACTCCATCTCATTCAAAAACCCAACCTGTTGCTTAGATACAAAATGTCACTCTGCTATCCTCAAGCCACTGTAG